TAATCCTTCAGACTTCTAACTTTGGTACTAGTGCCTTCCCGGCTCGAGTGGGTTACCGGTTTTACGATTGATCAAACTGGGAAACTTGAAAAAGGATGGAATGGGCGGCGAATTGAGGGGCATTTAACAGTCCAATGCCATGCTCCGGTTGGTCACTGCCATTCACCAATGCTCTCGATGGAGGTTGCCGTTCACCGGTGCTCTCTTCGGTGGCTGCCGTTGTAGGACTCCTGGGACGGATAGACACGGTAAAGTATATGTATATCAAAAGATCCCTTGAGGGGGAAATAAATTGCAAATAGGTTGAAAGGCTATTACAACTTACGGGTGGTTTGAAAGACCTGCCCCTCTAATTGTACTAAACAAATAACTAAGAGTCTTGTAATCAATATTTAAGAATATGTGGCTGATTCCAAGATAGATCTTACTTTTGTAAAGTAATCTCTATCAGACCTAGATCACGTATCAATCTACTAATGAATCTGTTACAACTTCAGGTTAATAATGGAAACTGTGGCGCGTTATTTAGAGTTTGTTAATGATCTCTTCCTCGAACAATTTCTTGCTAAGGCACTTTAATCAAAACTAGAGCTCCGGTGTTACTACTACTACTATTTGTTATTTGTTATTTGTTAATAATACTACTTAAGTTCACTTTGTTATAGTTCAATGGTTCTGGTTCTACTACTTATAAATCTCTGACTTTACTTAACTAATTCTGACAATCACACTACTGACTAACTAATTGTGACCAACTTACTCCTGTAGGTTGATGGGGGAAAAGAGAATCCTGGTGGAGAGAGGCCCTCCTTTTATATTGAAGAGTGAGGGATTTCTGCTGCAGGGGACTCCTTGTGAGTTATTTTTGCTGCAGGTGACACACACTTGCATAGCATGATGTCATTGGTTGCTATGAAACCAAGCCATGTAGCATGTGCTGAAACATTCCAAAGCAGTAATCCGGTACAGTATACAGTCTTATGAGATCTGTTACTCAGAAACCAAATCCACATTCCAAATGTTCTGTGTTTCGTCTCAACAGATGAAGCAACAGAAGAAACATCAGATGAAACACTCACTTACTTCCTTCCTTGTTCATTCTTCAGGGTCAAAGCCTCTCCGCCTACCTTCCTTCACCCCTCCTCATCAACTGTCTTATGTTCTTTTCCACTGATTACACAATACATAAACCCATATTACATAACCTACCCACGCACACACCACGTCTACATATGTATACCTTATCCTGTTGTTGTATGTCCTACGTAATGAATGTTCCTCCTCTTGTAATGAATGATAAGTGTGTGTAACTATCACCTATTCTGTATGCTTTTGGCATTGGAACAGGCACAGCACACCACACCGTTCACCGGTGCACTCGTTGGTGGCAACAGTGTGTGGCAATGGTTGGTGGCTATCGTTGGAAGACGTAAGGTTACGGGTATGAGCATGAGGCCCTGTCGAACAAGAAGAACAGAATGCAGTCAGAATAGAATAGAGGTGTTCCCTCTAGAAACAAAGGTCTTGTCTTGTTTTCGGATGGTTCTCTTTTCCCATTTGGCCGCTGTCTGATTGTGGAAGGAACTCCTACGTGAGGAGAGATTCCTTATGACATTGTGCCTCTGAGTCCTCACCCCCTCACAGCGGCAGTACCCGGCCAGCAGCAATAGATACAAAGCAGTTGTGGGGTGGGGCACACCGTCTCGGCGAGTCGTCGGCTGCAGGCATACTAGGTTTTGACAAAACCTCAATACTTCAAATCTGTAGACTGTGAGGGTTTTTTTTTCTTCCTTCTCAATATCATAAAAGAAAATCAGACATGGGGTCGACAAACTGATACCGAAACATGCCACTCATGAGCTGGCGCAATTCTTGTCCCCCCCCCTATCCTATAGGTTACCATAGGTGGAGAGAGTTGCCTTGACAGTCTTACTTCATATAGTACATACTGATCAAGTGATGGGAAAGAGAGAAGAGCGATGCAGCAGCCAGGGGTTGTGCTTCAGTTTTTGGGCCAGAAGTTGTTCGTTGTGGTTGTGCTGTGCATGAGTGGAGTGGTGTGCGCTAGTCGATGTCATTGTCAGCCTACCTCTCCCCTCTCCCCTCTCCTCTCTCCCCTCGCTGTGATTCCTGCCTTCATCTCACATCCATCCACTCGAGCACTCTCAAACACCTCAAACCATCACGGCTTCAAACTCAACCATGCCTGCTCAGGTCAACGTGCTCATCATCGGGGCCGGTCCCACGTCAGTCTTCCTTCTCTTCCCTCTTCATCTTTCATAACCACTGATAACTGTCCCCCAACCCTCAACGCGTTATCCTTGTCGAAATTCGTAATGGACTAGGCGCTGCACGTAGATTACATCAATTATTAAGTAAAAAAAATATCTCATCAGAAGCCGAAACACAGAAAAACTCAGATGGTTGATTGTGTTTGATGGATGCGATGTGATGTGTGTGGACAGAAAAACGAGTCATATTTGTTGGTCGATGAGCAACCGGAAGCGGGCGGACTAGCGTCGACGGACGTGACCCACGAAGGCTTCTTATTCGATGTCGGAGGGTAAAAAAAAACACCTTTCCCCCCGCTCCAAAAAACGATCACTCCGCCATCTTTTTTGTTTCTTTATGACTGATTGAATATTTGGCTTTGTTTGAATAAAAAAAAAAACAAGACATGTGATCTTCTCACATTACCAGTATTTTGATGACATGATTCGGGAGGCTTTGCCCAACGACTCGGATTGGTTAACACACCAACAGATCTCGTATGTCCGAAGCAAAAACTCTTGGGTTGCGTATCCTTATCAATTTCAGCCCTTTCCCTTCCTTCTTGTTGTCAAGAAACACAGATCACCCGATGATTTTTGTCATGATTGGTGATTGATGAAACTCTTTCGGGTGTGGGTTGGATGATAGAATATGGGGGGGGGGGGTGTATTGGATGATTGGAGGAAGAGAGTATTGAGGAGAGAAGAGAAGAAAAGAGACGGAAAGGGAAAAGACAGTGGAGACGGGAACGGAGAGGGGAGCGGAGACCGGAGAGGAGATTGGAGTGGATAAGCGAGTGGAGACAGGAGCGGATACCTTGAGCGGAGACAGGAGCGGATAGGCAAGCGGATTAGGGGCGCGGAGAACGGGAACCGGAAACAAGGGTGGGTAGGGCACATTCCAACAGCTTGTAAACCAGTGAAGGCCTGTGTACTTTGGCCAGCTTAAATATCTCTTCTGACATCATTTAGCTTGCAAAACCAGCCAAAATACATCATGGTCATGTCTAGACAGCTAAAAGCTCTCATTCTCTTGCTCCCAAGCCCAAACACCTCACCCTTTTCCCTTTATGGGGCTCTCCTTTCAGCAACAGTAAGCATATTTGATTTTTGTATCAAATTGTTAACACTTCATTCAGAGATACTCTGTTAACCAATCAAAACTATGACTCATCTACTACCAGTTGGCCAAATTCTTCTCCATGAAGGTTCTGGAAGATAATATGATGAATCTTCTGCAGAGTATACCTTGTGAATCTCAAGATCTATGTACCACAATAGTTAGGTAAAAGGACTGGTATTACTATGATTAGAATCAAGAATGTCTTATTTCAAAAACAAATTTCTTCTCATCAAAGAAAGAAAGTGCAGAAGGATTTGAAAAGAAATGCAGATTCAGGGGACATAGTTTCATCAAAAGATCAAATTTACTACTCCCAGATAGAAAATATTGAGCAAAAGAGGTTGCAATTGAATCTGAAAAGTGCTTCATATAAATGAAACAATGGATTTTTCTGGAGATTATTTGCTAAAATAGAAAATTGGTAATGGGGGAGAGGATAATCTAACAAAAATGTGTTCTTATTTGTGAGTATAAATAAGGCTATATTCTAGAAAATTGGGGAGGGTAGTTCCATGTTGAATTGATGAGACCAATGATTGAATATTGAAACATTGAAACATTGATTTTTTTTTTCTTCTTTTTCTTCCTGTACCAAAAATGGAACATTTATTTCTTTCTTCACTATTGGACCTGAAAACACAGAAAGGAAATATTTCAAGTGGGTCTTTTATGGAGATATTTTGTTTGATTCAAGTTTCAACCTGGAATTTGATAGTCTTTGAATTTAATCCTTCCAATTTGGTGGAACTTTGTCAGTTTTTCCTGGAAACATCAATCTTTTGAGATTCTTTATATAACTGTTGGTAAAAGAATCTTCCTAATCATATCCAACATAATTCCCTTGATTGTCATATTTCCTCAGAGAATAGCAACCTCCATGGCCCAGTTTCTTTTTCAAAGATCTAATCATAGAATCCCAGTAATCAGTACTGGTTGTGAAAAAGCAATCTGGGTGATACTTTGTGTACCAATACTCAAGTAAAACAAGTGAGACCCAAACAACCTGCAGGTATGCTGTTGGTTGACTCAAGTATTGTTCTATCAAGTAAATTTGAACTTCTCCAAAGTCATTGTATCCAAATTTATCATCTTCACTATAGAAATCTCCAACAATTGGAAGGCATTCTCCTTCATTTCCTCCTTGTTTTCCAAGTAGAACATCTTTGAACCAATTGCTGAATGAATTCAATGCATCATTTACCAATATCTTTCCTTTTGAGCTTTGTTGAGAAATTATTTCCCGGTGACATATCTTCAAATGGGTGTCTAGTAAATTGAACTTGTAAATGATACTCCGTATTCTTGGAAAGCTTTCTATCTCATCCAGAATTCTGATTCTATACTGGTAAAACATATTATTCATGGTTTTTTTATATTTCCAAATTTTTGCAGAGAGCCCTTCAACTTGGATAGTTTTCCTTTGGAAATTTTGTTGTTGGATTGAGAAAAGACTTTGAGGTGGTTCTATTGATCCATCTCCAGTTAGATGCCTTGTTGTGAACTTTCCAGGCTTCATTGTGCCAGGAAATCTGCTTAAATCTGGTACTTTCAAATTTCCCATGCTATCCCAAGATCTAAGCACTTCCTTGTCTTCTTCAAAACTCATTTCTGAATGGATGCATTTGTATAGAAGTAAAGTGAGATATACTTCTGGGATGGATACATCTTGGTTACTTTTTACATGTTCCCAAATTTCTGGATGAAAATCTTTATACCATGAGCAAATAACTAAAATTGAAGCCTCAAGAGAATATTCTTTTGGATTACTTCTTGAAAGTTGTTCAAGCAAGATCCTCTGGATCATTCCAAATTCTTTTCCCGGATTCAAGTCCTTATCCCCCTCAACTAATCCAAATATGGGAAAGCTCTGTTCTGGATTGAATGCTTGATCAAACAACCAATTCAATAATTGTGTGTTTGAGGACATCAGAATATTTGATTCATTTGGATGGATATCTTTTAACACAGTTGAATTGATGAGAATGAGCCACTTGATGATATTTTCAAAGTTGTGTTTCAGGATACTAGAGCTATGCTTTATGCCCTTCCTTTCCCCCACCAACCTGATCAAGAAATTGTCTGAATTTGGTATTGGTAATTTCACAGCAGGAGAGCCCAGGATCTTATGTTTTTGCCAATGTTTTTGTATATTATGATATTGTTTTCCTGAGGTTCTCATGTGTATTGAAAATTTGTCCACAAATCCTTGCAAAAACCTTTCATTGATCCTTCCATTTGGTACAGAACTGAGGATCCAGATATCAGAAAAATCATAATTGTATATCTGGAGTTCTTTAATCTTTTCATTCCAAGTGGCTCTTTGGTTTGGAAGCAATCTAATGCAAGATGTGTTTTCCAAATTGACATTTCCTGGAAACACATTTGGACTGAGTGAAGAATCCTCTGGATCTGCTGAGGAGAGGTATTTGGAATTCAAATATTCATAACCTGCAGGAACACTGTCAGATTCCTGTGATTTCACGACATGTTGAACACCAATGTCAGAGTTTTTGAGTGGAAAGGAACTTGGTATATTTTTATCTTCTGGTCCTGTGTTGTGGCATGGTATGGGGACTGGGAGGTTATAAGGTGTGAAACCAAAAGAATGAAAACCTTCAAAAACCTCATGAGATCCTTGCAAATTTGAAACATCATAGAAATCTATGCCAGGATTGTCTGGTTTCCAGCATCTTTGAAAATCTTGACTGCATGGTACTAAATTTTTTTGATGTGATGTAGAATCAAATACAAGATTTGATGGTGATGGTAAAACTGAGGATTTACCTTGAACATTGTCAGGTATCCCTAGGTTAAGGTTATCATTGAGGGAGAGAAATGGTTCAAGTACACTTCCCAATTCTCCCTTTGCAAAGTCAAAGTCTGGATAATGGTTCATTTGATAATTTAGTGTGCCAATCCCTAAGAGTAATATGAAGTATTTTTATTTCAGTTTTTTTTCTGTATTCCAAATTTAAATTCTTATGTTCCCCATAGTTGACTCCTCACCTTGCCAGCTGGATGACTGGAGCATGCCTTCTGACACTACGTTTTCCCAGCCACCTGAACCAGCCACAGAATTAATGTCTGTTGTGGCCCTTTCCACTGGATTTTGAATTGATGAATCTTCAAGCTTGACTGGAGAAAGAGGAAGATAAGCGAGAGTAGAGATAGATTCAATCCGTCAGAGTTGGACTTACCTTTTCCAATTGGATTGGTTGATGAGAGTGGTTCCTGTGGCCTATAATCATCTTGTAGCGGCCTCCTCAGATCGTTCCGACCGTCCACGATGGCTTGAAGTTCAGAAACAGCCACCGAAAGCCTTCCCTCGTTATAATTATCAACCAAAGCATTACTCGCGTGGCTATCTTCTTGGTGCAGGTCTGGTTGAGCCAATTTCTTGATATTTTCCCACATGGGAAATTTGTTCGTGTCATCTTGCAAACTGGAAGACCCAAACATTCCCTGGAGATGGGGATGAAATGTATTTGCTGATACTAAGCTTTCCAAGCCATCTGAGATAAACTCATGCTCGATGCCCTTCCTGGCCCTTTTCTCTTGATCTTGACCTAATAGTGGGGTTTCAGGATTCACTGGGAATCAATCAATGTAAGCGAGATGGGCTGAGGTTGATTATTCCTATGAGTTTGCATTGTACTCACCTAATTGTGCAATTGGATCGGGCCATGAATGTTGTTGTGGGAATGGATGCCAGTCCTCTAGTGGACGCTTGCGTTTGAACCCATTGTTGAAGGAAGCTTGAAATTCAGAGACAGGGTCTGATGGCTTTGCCTCGTGAAAATAATCAATCAAAGGCTTGATTTCATGACTTTCTCGTGATAGGCCCGGTCGAGCCAATACGTCCTGAACAGCTGGGTAACACACCACGCCCAAAATGAGACGACACTTGGTCACCGATATGATCATTCTCAAGACAACAAGAACAGAATATGATAATTGGTTAGCCGTTGTGAAGATAGGTCGCGTTCACCCGGATGGTTTTTCAGAAAATTCAGATTGGGGCTCCCTAATTATCTCCTGCATCTACATAACAGTTACTGTGCTTTCTAAAGGTGTTTCATCATCTCGCACAACTGCACCAAGTTCTGATTCCAGAAGGCGTTGCACTTCCCCCTTCCCCCAGCAATTTTCCTCTATCTTACATGCCGCATGGCATTTGACTGGTGCGAGGGAACAGCTATTGAATTCGTTTCCGAGGTATGTTTGGTCCATCCATCGAGTTTGGTCGAGCAGCTTCGGGCAGACTGTCCGCTTATCATACCGATTCCCTTTTTTTCAGCCTGTGAAACTGTTTAGAACAGGCATACGATTCGTTATCAACTTTGGGATGTTTGTCATCATGAGTCTATTCATTTTTAAAACAATACTAACTCGTATCATCATCCAGGTAGAGTTTAGAAAAACGTCGACATTTGCTCGTTTTGGCTAAACATGTATTTACCACTCGCAGTCAAAGTGTTTATGTATTTGGTTTTTCGACCCAGCAAGTCGCAGGTATGATTGCAGTCAGCCCTTCCCGGCTCCCCATTGTCAAGAGGGTCTGATCAACAACAGGCTGAAGAAAAGTGTGGCAGGCGGTTGAGCAAATAAAAAGACTGGTTGCTCCGGTTTGGGAACCAAGGTGGTCTAATACTAAATTCACCTGATAACTATGTATTCACTACATCCATCACAGACCTGTTTAAGACCAACCTCAACAATACATTTTTTTAAGAAAGAAATCAGAGGGGAAATAAAACTGAGTCTCTATATATTAGCTTTTGTTTTACACACACGCAGATGTTCAAGATCAAGACCGACCGCTGGTCAGGAAAGTAAAAATGAAGAAGGAAGCAAGGATGGTAGGAATAAGGAAGGATCAGAGAAGAAAAGAAAATGGTGAAGTCGGACAATGGGGATGTAGATGGACAGATTTTTTGCGTTTTTGATCACAAGATCAACGCTAATATTCCTATCAGGCCGAATAAGCTTGAGCCGAAGAGGGTGAGCCTGCTTCCTGTCGGTAGCGCTGCGGTCGATAAAGACAATGGAGTCTTAGTTCCGGATAGACTATTCGATCAAATGAGAATGTTGGAGGAATCGAGGTGGACATCAATGTGCAGTTTCCTAGAAGATATGAGAGGGTGTTTTTTTTCATAGGAGGATACTTACACGGAGTCTGCATGGGAGCTATTAGAGATTTGAGCAACGCCGGCATCAGACCCGTTGGCGACGAAAGCGCATCCTGAACAAGCTGTCGAGCGATATGATGCAGATGAAGATGGCTTGAGTACCTTGACGACTCTTCGTAGGCTTCGAGGGACTCTGGCGACTCACTGGCTTCTCCCTGTGGGATCCCCTGACAAGAGAACGTGCCTTGATCATTGATGCATACTGTCGGACGTGAAGGGAAATCAGCACATCCCACAATACTTGCAATGTCACCTGTGAATCTGAATCCAAAAACAGGCCAACACACCTCCACGCTCCAGGCTCGGCTGACTGTAGCTAATCGTGCACATTTGTTGTTCCGAGTGGTCGGAAGGGTCGCCTTCTTTCGTGCATTGGCTTGCCACTGAACATAAGTTTGAATGAGGAAAACGACGGGTTGTCAGAGAGTACCACCACAGGAAGAGATGAGTTGACTGGAGTCGCGTGTTTGTGAAAGTCAGAAGCACTTACCAATTGTTCCTGTGCATCCTCCCGTACAAACTTGATGGGGGTCGTCATTACATGCTATAAAGATGATGTGAAGGATGAGCATGGCAGCGTCCAAGGACCTGGTACTAAATTTCTTGCTGGTAAACAAGGGAAGACTTACTAGTGTTAGGCCCTGTGATGTTGGAATAACGTGTGCACTTCAGAGTTTTCTCGCCGCCGATTGGTGGAGGATACGGACTAGAAATAGATGTGGTGACCAGACCTATGAAGTAAATGCTCACAGAAAACAAGGAATAATGCATGCTTGAGATGTGTTGAAATCCGAAACCACAAATCTAAATCTAATATGAAAGAAAAAAAAATTGGATAAGAGAAGCAGGGGAGGTGAAGGGGAGCTATGTAGAGGTAGAGAAAGAGAGGAAGAAATGTCTAGTGATCAGTATCTTTTCAGTTCTCAAGCAAGGAAGAGAAAGTGCTTTAAAGGGAAGATAAAACGAGAGTAAAAAAAAAAAAATCGAGTAGTTTGTCAATTGTATGTCTAAAACAAGTATGCTTTCTCAATGTGCGTAGGCTGGTGGATGTGATTTGTAGGAGTGAACGTTGATGAGAAGCAGATTGACTCAGAATCTATCGCGTGCTGGCCACCCCTAGCATCAGTGGGTTGGTGCGCCAGGTTGAGTTCGAGTGAGTTTGTAGTTCAGGGAAGTTCCAGTGACTCGGTTTGTCAATTATGTACCCCCGCCGCTTATAAGACTTTTTTAACAGTGCAAGGAACTCATCAATGTCAGTCACATAAACAAAAAAATTCTTGTCCACCCGGTGGTGCATTTAGCGACGGCTCGCTCAAACCCAAATTAACCCTCTCTGTCAATCCAGAAAATTCATGGCATGCTGCTACACTGCTTGTGTGATTTATATATGTATGGGATTGTTGGATGGAAGGATAAATACTAAGTTAGGAAGGAACGAGGTTCGGTTTGATTGAGTGACTACTTGAGCAATGTACTCTATTTATCTTCCAGTTGCCAGGGGAATGAATCAAAGAAACAAGCCACTCGTGCCAGCGACCTCGAGTCCCATGACTGGTTTTTTTTTGGCATCTTTTTTTTGCTTGAGACTTGAATGCCTCCGAAATTCAATCGATTACCGACACACTAACTACTACATAAGTTGTGCCGCTTTCATGGGGGACAATCCGGCTAGATTTGTGAATATTCATATCAATGTAAAAGGTTGTTTTAACATCAGTTTGAGAGCTCTCAATCCCAGCTTGTGCACAGCTTGTGCATGGATTCCCCCTCCTCCTCCCCCTGGTGAGTGATTCCAAATGTGACATTCTTTTTGAGTGGAATCCATCAACTGGGTTTTATGAGAGGTGCAATCGTTACCTGAGTGCACTGCTCCAGCCAAAGTTTCCGCTGATCAAGACAAGCCGTCCTTGGATCTTTGCAGGTGTATTGTGCCATTGAACGCGAACGTAGCCAGCGGAGTATCTACTCAACGAGCACGCGTATACAGCGTCTAAAAAAACCGGACACTTCTAAACCAATTAAGTTAGGACAAGCTGGACGCGTCTCGTCTCTTCACCCAAGAATTATGCGAAGGAAGGAACCATGAAACATAAGTGAGTGTAGTGTTCTTATTTGTACACTATGTTGACTGATTTTGCATTATTTTCAAAACCAGAACTATTTCATGAGAAGATAGAGAAACAGATAGACCATAGAAAGAATGTGAAGATGAATCTCGTAAGTGAGAAAGCAGAAAGAAAAGGAAAGAATGATCAGAATTAACAGGGCTCAAGAAGTGGATAAAACAAGTCATTCAGCCGATTGCTTTTTCTTCTTTTTGCCCTCCGACTTGGATTTTTCTTTGTCAGATTTAGATTTTTCTTTATCCGATTTAGACTTTTCTTTTTCCGATTTAGACTTTTCCTTGTCAGATTTGGACTTTTCTTTATCAGACTTTGATTTTTCCTTGTCGGACTTCGATTTTTCTTTAATCACAGATGTGTCCACGTCCATGGAGACGTCACCCTCGGCAATTTCAGTAGCATCCGACTAGAAGACAAATTGTTGAAGGCACATAATTAGCAATAAGCTCTCATGTTTTATAGGATTCACAAGAAAATCGTACTTTTCGTTTCTTTTTCTTCTTCTTCTTATCAGTCTCTTCAGCCGGGTCAGCCAAGTCAGTCCCATCCAAAGCTGAGCTTTTCCGCTTCTTAGGTTTGGCAGATTCCTTGGTAGTTGAGCTCTTGAGTTCCTCTTCAGCCGCCTTCATCTTTTCCAAAACAGCCTCCATGGCGACTTTGTTCTTAGTAGGATTGGCTCCGGTTTCGTAAAACGCTAGTCGCTCCTCAACTTGCCCACGCAACGCTTGTCCGAACGCAGTACTGGGTGAATCAGTGAAACAATCGATTCGCGAAGCAATCGAACATTTATTGGCCAAGAAACGTGAAATTCGTCCTTTGTTCTTGGTTCCTGCCCGCCCGATGAACGTACTCTGATGTAGAATGGAAGCATTAAGCAATAATTCAGTGGTAGTTTTGTTGAGGATATTTAGAAGGAAATAGCGATTGCAGAAGAGTGCTGACATGGTAAATTAATCCGTATTTCGGTGTGTTACCCTTCGTCTTGAGCGCTCGAAACAGTGCCTTTTCGGCGCCGAGGATTTGAACTGTCGAGGCCGGGTATTTGCTCAAATTGGTCAAGCTTCCGGCGTGACTAATCAGACGAGCGGCTACTGTATCGCCAATCAGAGCGCCTAGATTGGGTGCGACGAGGTCCATTTTTTCTCGGAGATAGGCCTGGAGAGATTTGCGATAGTCGTACAGTTGGATTACTCGGTCGGCAAAGTTCAGGATGTTGATAAGGTCGACAGGCGAGATGTCGGTACCCATACTGGACCGGGCAGCGTCGAGGATGTTTTTGGCAAGGGTTTCATTACCCTCGACTAGTTGGGTGATACCTTCGAGGCTCTCGTCGGTAAGCTTGCTCTTGTCACCGATGAACTTGACAAGGCTTGCGTACTGATGGCTGTCGGGCAGAATCTTGACCAACTCAGGGAAGTGCCATCCGTACCACTCCCGAACACGCATGGCAAAAGTATTAACATCCTTGTCGAGTTGGTCGAGTAAAGCAATAGCTTGGATGATCATGTTATCACTTCGATTGACGTTGAATTTGACTTTTGCTCTTGAGTAGGCATGGCCTAGTCCCAGTTGAGACTTGTCCATGTCTCCCTTCTCCAAACCAGTCAATAGCTTTTCGGCATGCAACCGAATGCCCCTGATGAGTTCTAGAGATCGATCTGACGCATCACACTCGATTCCTAAGCTTGCTTTGATGGAACCCGCCAATCCCCTCTCGGCGACTCCAAGGACTATCGACGATTTTTTGGCTGGGATATGGAGTTCTAGTAGGGACTGCAAATGTTCCGACATCAAACCTGTGTTGAATTCAAGAGATCTGCCAATCAGTTTTCTTTTCTTCTTTCATAAAATACTATCCAAGTGGGGATGAATTTGGGTTGACCTTCTGAGATATCGTTAGCATTTTCCAAGGCATGAGCAGCGTCCCTGAAGGGTAAAAAGCTCTTCAACTCGATCATTTTCCCAAATTTACTCAGATTGGGGATTGCTTCCTGAAAAGAGGAGAGGATTGAATTACAGCCAGACATGATCATGAGTACGACGGTCAGGATGAACGAGATAAAAGAGATCTGGGGATGGCTTACTTGAACGGCCTTCGTTCGGCCGGCAATCTCTTCGGTGAACTTGACCGCAAATAGGGCATACCCGGCAGAGCTTTCGAAGAGAACATGAGTGGCCATTCTGAGTGTGCCCTGTTGTTGTTGTTTTTTTCTGTTGGAGAGAGGATGAAGTGGCTGGTTCAGGTTGGAATTTCGGAGTGGGTCCCCTGCTGGCTGGTGCATACACTGTGGGATGTCCAGAACAGGAAAAAATTCAAATTGAATATTCATTTTGAGTTTTTTCGGGTTTCGGTCGATTGCCGGCCAACTTCAAACCGTGACATCTGGCTGGCCTGGCATACAACACATTTAAAATTTGCTGAATATGAGTATGGAAGATTTTTGAACAATTATTGATGGTCTAAACAAACCAACACAACAGACTGAGGGAAAATTCACACTTAAAACAGAAACAAAATTAGAAAAGAAAAGAAAGAGAAAATGAATTGAAAGAAAGACTTGATTATCAACATGCAGGAACAGAGCAATCTGAAAGAACAAGAATAAATCAGGAGATCAGCTATTGAATTGAAGAGAACAGACAAGAATGAAAGAACATTTTCAATTCAGGAGTGGGTGAGAGGAGCGTAAAAAAGTGAATTAGTGTAGGCAAAGCCTACATGAACTTAAAAAGAGAAAGTGGGAAGTGAGACAGATGTTTAGATCAGTTCATTCACAACATTCAAAAGCTGTGTGGCTTTTGAAGAAAACAATTACTGTTTGTATCTTCTTCAATCCATTATAGAGAAGTAAAAAAAACAACTCTAAAACAATTTGAATTGCCCAGATACAAGAAATTAAATTTTCAACCAAACCTTTCAACAAAAATACAAAGGGGAACCATGACTGTTGGAATGTCACTGGCTAGCAAGTGAGATCAAGGAGGCTTTTTTGGAGCCTTCACTGAGGCTTTGGTAAACCTTGCCTTTGTAAAGTGTCCAAACCCCCCTGCCACCCCCTAATCGTCTACAAATACAATATGCTTGTGTGTTAGGTTAGCTTCAAGTGAAGTATGAACCAAGTTATAAATTTAGTCTCTTCACACTACTTGTCAGCAAGTTACACAACCTTTTTGAGTGGTGGGAGGCATTCATTTTTGGCCTGTACGTCAGGCCCAATTATGAGGCCAATTTCCAATTTTCAAGTTGGAAATTGACCCCTCCAAAAATGGTGCACTCATGTGCATACCCAATTTCCTGTGGTACAGAAACCAGATTTTCAGTGCCAACCCCAAAATGAATCTTGGTTGGAAAGAAATTCAAAGATCAAAGATAAAAATGAAAATTGGATGGGGTGCTATGGTACATGAGGCCCTTAATACATGTAATGATGAAAATCAAACTTTTGTAACAAAACCTTTAATTTATTTCTGCAAGTTGAAAATGCATAAATTTTGATTATAGTTAATATCAAGATATTGAAACATACAAATAAAATTACTTTTTTAGTTTTTTGGATTGATTTCCTTGACCCATTTGAAGATTGACTTTTGTGGTTTTCTTCTAAGCCAGCTTTTCATTTTGACTGAAAGGGATTTGATTGACTTATCGACTTGAGTCTTCCATGGTAAGAGTTTAAAAGATTTGAACACAGGCAAGAAGTCCTCATTATACTTTGCAGTCTTTCCGGAATAGAATCTAGTTGAGCTTATTCTGGTAAGGAATTCAAACATGTGCTTGTCTGCTTTGAAGAGAAGCTTCCACTTTTTGATGTTTTGATTCTTGTAATAGCTTCCCAGGATATTGCACACCATCTCAGTCATAATCAAATCTTTGCTGGTCACAGGTGAATATGATGAGTTTTCCTGATCATTATATTTAGCTTTGAATTTAGGTTCAACATCTTCTTCTGAAAGCAGGAAATATTTGAGAATCAAACCTTCAAATTTTTCTTTCAGTTTCTGATTGATGAGGGAATGTTGGCCTGAAAGATTTTTCGATTTTTTGAAATCCTCTTTCCAGTGAATCAATTTGGATAAAATGAACTCAAAGTACATTTGAACCCATCTTTGCTCATTGACAAAAGTTTCCTCGGACCGTTCACATCCCAAACTTTCAAGGAATCTAGTGTTGATTGACCAAATATAATCAGACAAAAACATGAGCTTCTGAGATAGTTTTGTGTCATCATAAGCAATGGATAGCAATTCGACTTTCTGTGCTTTATTTGAATGACTTGCTCCTTCAAGATATTTCCTCATGTCTTTTTGCAAGGCAATGGTAGGTTGATTTTCTGGAGGGGATTCAAGTTTTGATTGAATCTTCATCCTAGATATCCATGCCCACAGCTTTGGGTCTTGGGTTCCTAAAGAAAAAGTCTTGTGATCCACAAATTGAGGTATATCATAATCTGGTCTCTCCTGAATTGGGACGACAAATCTTTCGAATGCAAAGATGAAATTCTTCAGTTTCTTCTCCGGGGAGCTTGAAACTCCATCGGGCAAAGGGGCCTCCCAAGGTGTCATCCTTCCTCCATTTTTCTTCTCAACTGCCTGTTGTGAAATCCTCAAAGGCCTGCGCATCCACCGATGTCCAAAGTTGACGATTCTGAGGACAAAGTATCTATCTTCTTCTCCGAAGATTTTTTCCCATTTGTTGTGGTTTACATTTTTGTAGTAGAAGCCAAGAAGATAAACTGCAGATTGGTTCATCAACTCCTCCTTGTGAGAGAGAAATGCAGTCTCAAGTGATATACCTTTCCAGGGCAAAGTGATTCTGTAGACAGACTCATTTTCAGTGCATTCAACAGCTTCTGAAATCTTCTGGTATAAGTTTTCACATATATCGGAAAACTGTTTGCTGAGTTGCTGCTTTGGTTGATTTGGAAAGTGAGATGAGCTGGGATCTATGCGTATCAAGATGAACCCGACAAACCATCTAAGGAGCTTGGTCTGTTCTTCAAGATAAGCAGTGTCGAATCTGTCAACCCCGATAAGCTCTAGCACCCTAAGATTAATCGCCCACAATAGATGAGAGACTTCACGTATTTCTCTAAGTTGATTCTTCAACCGATGAGCTTCTTCCCTAACATTTCTCTCTATGTTGGTTTTCTGATAATTGATACCATAATCAGGGTGCCCAAGGTATTCATCTATAAAATCTTGTATCAACGGGTCCACAGATTTTTCGAGTTCCCTGAAGATCGATTTTTGGACACGTTGCCAAATGATCGAAATCCATGGCCAGATTTTTGGGTTAAGATTTTCTACATAGAATTCTCTGATCAAGACCTCTTCATCGCCAGATCCTCCACTTTCTTCCGAACCGTGAGGAGTATCAATGCCAATAATCAGCGTGTTGCGAAAATGAGACTCTGGATCTGGAGAGCGGGAGTTGGCGCCATGAAGCTGGCCTGCGGGCTCAAGTTGCGCGGGAGACGACCTAGAGCCATTTTTTGATGAGTTGGGTTCTTCGGGGACATTATCCACACTGTTTTCGTATAACACAATAGGATAAGGGATTTCCACACGACTCTCAGACCCAATCACTGGATCGGCTTGTGAAGAAACCGGGTTGACTATTTGGTTGTTATCAATCCAGAAAAATACAACTATCATTCAATCTGAGGCGGTCAAGTTGCTCATTTGTCTCTTTTTTTCAAGGGGCACTTGGCTCGCCCTGAAAACTTCAATAAGGTATTTTTTATAACAGCATGCAGATTGACGTACCATAATTAGGTGGTATTTCAGGACGGGGTGGAGCCGGTAAAGAATCTGAGTCTTCCCCCGAAGTGGAAGGATGTAAGTTGAGATTCCAATCTTGGTATTTTCCTCTCGAACCTTGCCCACAAGTTGTATCTAAGACCGACTCAAGGGAATAAGACTGAAGGTTCAAACCCAGGCGGCGTTTTTTCGATGCTGGCTGTGTGCTGTTGTCATCACCATTTTCTCCTTCGGTCCAATAGTTTTGTTGATCAAGGGTCAAAGTTTTCTTTCTGCTTGGGCCAGCTTCAACCGGGGGCATTTGAGTTGCTTCTTTCCCTTTGATTCAAGGGGATCTTTAGAATTCGCGCTGAATGTTTTGCAAATGCGACTTTTATAGCAGCAGATGGATTGACGTACCACTGGGTTGAAATTGTGACCGGGATGAACCCGCTGAGGAATCTGAGCCTTCACTTGAGATGGGAGGATGCAAATTCAGGTTCAAATCTTGGTATTTTCCTCTCGAATCTTTCCCCTGAAGTGGATTTATGGCCGGCTCAGGGGAGGGTGGCTCTAGATTCAAATCCAGGCGCCGTCTTTTTGAAGTAATTTGGCGGCGTTCATCATTACCATCTTCTTCGATCCAATAGTCTCGTTGGCCAAGAGACAAAGGACGCTTTCTGTTTTCACGTCTGCCCATTGAGAGATGACCTGAGAGACGTGAGGCTTAGATCATTCAGATGATCTCAAATTTGCTGTCAGAACCGGGTCAACTGTATCCTCAAATTGAGACTGACAAGAGAAAAATCCGGACTGACCGAGTAAATTCAAAGTTTTTGGTACCCGCCTGTTGTGGTTGTTATCAAGGTCACCCTCCAATTGTAGACCGGGTGAAGTTGAAATCAATGGCAATAGTTGTGGGGTGTGACCTGTCTGTATGTTTCCCCCTGGCCAGTCCATCATATCCCTTAAGCTCTGACATGGCGGATCCAAAGGCACATCTTCAACGAAATTTCTTTCTGACGTTGACGCTGTTGAACAGACTTGAAGCAGGATTAACAAAGTCGAACAGAAACAGCTTTTCATTTTCGAAGCCCTGTAGTTCATCGTCAAGATATCTCGAAGTCCTCATCTTGCAGAAGTTCTCAGGAGGCGTACAAACTTAACCAAAGAAGGAACTGCGCGGAATTGCATCTCATTCTGCAAGGAAAACAGGATTAAGAGAAGAATGTTTTCTTGAATAGAGGACTCTCCCGATATTGATTCTCGGCTGCCAAGAGGTGGACCAGAACAGTTCCTTTGACTTCCTCCTGATTCTCAGTGCTTGTCAGTTATGAGAGTTAAAGAACGCTGAGTAGTTGTACAAATCAGAAGCTTGGATTCCAGTCCAACAAGTTTCAGATTATCACATGGCCGGTGTTGAGTTTATGCTCTTGAACAGTTGTACCTTAAGGTGAACTCGGCTTCAAGACACCTCGAGGAGAGGAAAGATCTAGACCTCGACCGTGCTTTAATTGTGCTGTGCCAGTCTGTGGCCAAACGTGCCTTTGACACAGAGTCTCGGGAGTCGGGAGGAGCCCGGAAAGACCTTGTAAAGGTCCCTTCATGAGGCAGAGCCCCCACCATACGGCTGCAGCACATTCAGAAGACATGGGACCGGGCAGTAGCCAAGTTTGCAGGCGCCTATTCATTGGAAGATCCTAGCCGGTATCTGCACTCCCCAGGGCAGGGCCATAACACAGAAGACCTGCTTCGCCATCTACACTCAATCTCCAGTCTCATCCTCTTTTCTACCAGGAGGGTGTGGCGACACTTGGACATGATATTCTGAGTGCTCGTCGAAGCAGTCAAAATGTGCTCATCGAGGAACTTGGTAATTTCCTCAAGACCTTATAGTTAGTTAGTTATACTTGGCTTTCCATAATTCTGCAATGTAAATACTTGTCACAAGATACGCACATGTCCAGCTTCAACAGACAGCTTCTTCTTCTTCTTGGGTTGAAGAACAACACACGACGCATCATCAAGCCGTTTCCATGGTTCAAGAGGGAATGAGAATGTTTTCCTCAATCACACACATGCTTGATCAGTTGAACCATGTGATCATTTAACATATGTTGTGCAAACACATATTTACCTTATCAGGCTGCAAACTCTTGAACAATCCTGAACTCATGTGATTGACAGATAAGCTTACTCTAAGAAAAATTGTCTTAATTGACACATTTTTCCCAATCAAGCTTGAGAAGGTTTCATTTATAACTCAATTTTACCCTTTTTTGTTGTATGGTCAATGGAAACTCAAAACTGAAAAACAGATATACAATGGAAGATTTCTTAGCAGCTACTCTTTAATTGATCAACAAAGACCATTTTTTTAGTTAACTTCTGGCTCTATTAATCAGACACTGCATGTATCTCACATGTAATCAATTCAATTTAAATAATCAAAACTCTGGACTCCCGTATCGAAAACAGCCTCAGTAGCCCAGTGGTAGAGCGTTTGCCTAGTATCGTCAGTCCTTCGGGAGTGAGACACCAGCAAAAGGTCCAGTGTTCGACTCACTGTTGAGGCAGCTACTTTTGCCTTTTTTCGATATCCAGAGCTGACCAGAAGCTGACAAAGTATCTCCCTATGTTTTCCTTTTGTTTTTCTATGTAGTTTCCTGATCGGAAAAAGTGTAGTAGAAAGAGGGTTACATAGTTTGGTAAAAAACCCCTGTTATGTTGACGGCCCTCAATAAATTTTTCAATCTGATACATAACTCATTCTTGCCTGGATCAATTACATCAATCTTAGGATCGTTTTCTTATTATCTACACGTGTTTGGTGGCGTGTTTGTACAAGATGAAGAACCTTCCTGTGACATCATTCTCATGTTTGATTATCCATGATTTCATCGGGAGGGAGGGAGGGAAAGAATGGTGTAGAATATTCTGTTGCTTTTGTTGTTGTTGTTGGTGGTTGTTGTTGTTATGA